GGGCAAGACAGAGCTATACGGAGGATTAGGTGTCGGGTCGCATTATTTTGATCTCTCTTATTAACTGGCGGGCGGATGGGAAAAGAAGCCTTAAGGAGAAGTGTTTTAAGTATTAACTGTTTGTTGAAATCGTCGAAGGGGGAAGATAAGTAATGATGTTGAAAAAGGGAAGTGTGTTTATAATGGAGAAAAGATGGGGATAGGAGAGAAGGAGAGAATAAGAGTATGATGAAGAAAGGATGAATAGATGGCAAGTCGGGAAGGGGAGAAAAGAGGGAAAGAAATAGCAAGAAAGATGAAAATAAGATAAAGATAAGTAATGATGTTGAAAAAGGAAGTGCGTTTATAGTGGAGAAAAGACGGGGATAGAAGAGGAGAGAATAAGATGATGATGAAGAAGAAAGGATGAATAGATGGCAAGTCGGGAGGGGAAGAAAAGAGGGAGATAAATAACGAGAAAGGGTAAGAAAGATAAAAATAAGATAAAGATAAATAATGATGTTGAAAAAGGGAGTGTGTTTCGGTGATTTTATTATGGAGAAGAGGCGGAAGATAGGAGAGGAGAGAATAAGTGGATGATGATGAAGAAAGGATGCATAGATGGCAAGTCGGGAAGGGGAGAAAGGAGGGAGAGAAATAGCGAGAAAGGGCAAGAAAGATGAAAATAAGAGTGCGATGGGAGAGAGGTATGGAGGTACGGAGGGTGGGAGGAAGGGAAAGGGAGGGGACGAGGGGGGTAGGGGAGGATGGGAGGGAGCCAGGGAGGGTAGAAGGGTGGGAAGGAGTCAGGAAGGTAGGGAGGGTGGGAGGAATGGAAAGGGAGGAAACGAAGGGAGGTAGGGAGGGTAGAAGGGAGGTAGGGAGGGTGGGAGAGGAAAAGGAAGGAACGAGGGAGGTAGGGAAATGAGGGTGTATGTCGATCGGTGTGTCGACGATAATAACTTGTCACTTTTTTTCTGTTTTCTTTCTTCTCGTTTTCCTTCCCTTTCTAACTGGAGGGAGCTTCTGTGTGTATTTCCGGCGTTCTCGGTATCTCCCGTTGGTGTTATTCTTGTGTATCTATTTTCCCACTCATTTTGTGTCTTTATTTCGCTCTCTATTTCCTACCCTCTTTTATCACGTTTTCTTTCTTACTTCCCTCTTCTCTTCTCCTCTTTGCCATTTCTTTTTTTTTTCTCAGCTCTCTCGTTCCTTACGTATTTTTTCCTACTCTCTCGCCGTTCTTTAATCCACAAACAGTATCTGAAAACTCAAAGTGGAAATTATACATTCTCTCTCTCTTCTCTCTCTCTCTCTCTCTCTCTCTCTCTCTCTCTCTCTCTCTCATCCTCTCTCTCTCTTCTCTCTCTGCTCTCTCTCTCTCTCTCTCCTCTCTCTCTCTCTCCTCTCTCTCTCTCTCTCTCTCTCTCTCTCTCTCTCTCTCTCTTCTCTCTCTCTCTCTCTCTCTCTCTCTCTCTCTTCTCTCTCTTCTCTCTCTCTCTCATCTCTCTCTCTCTCTCTCTCTCTCTCTCCTCTATCTCTCCCTCTATCTCTCCCTCCCTCCCTCTCTCCTCCCTCTCTCTCCCCTCCCCTTCGCCCTTCCCTTCACCTTCCCTCCCTCCTCCCTCCCCTCTCCTCTCCCTCTCCTCCTCTCTCTCTTCTTTCTCTCTTCTCTCTCTCTCTCTTATCTTACCTTTCCCTCTTTCTTAACCCGCCTCCACTTCAGGCTAAGATGTTCCGTCAGCTGGAGGGAGATTACCTTCAATAAGCATCAAAGGTTTCGCCCTGCAAGAGGTTGCCTTGGGGAGAGGGGGGGGGAGGGGGGGTAGGAGGGGAGGTGGGGAGGGTAAGAGGGGGTAGGGAGGTGGGGGGGAAGGGAGGGTAGGAGGGAGGGGGGGAGGGTAGGAGGGAGGGAGGGAGGGAGGAGGGAGGTGGGGAGGGAGTGGGAGGGAGGGTAGGAGGGGAGGTTGGGGAGGGTAGGGGAGGGTAGGAGGGAGAGGTCGGAGGGTAGGAGGGAAGTCGGGAGGGTAGGAGGGGTTCTGGCGAGGGGTTAGGGAGGGAAAGGAAGGGAGAGAGAGAGTGGAAGGAGGTAGGAGGTGGGAGGAAGGGAAAGGGAAGGGACGAGGGAGGGTGGAAAGGGAACCAGGGAGGGTAGAAGGGAGGTAGGGAGGAAAATGGAGGGTGGAATGGAGGTAGTAAAGGATAAGGAGAATAAAACAGAAATAGAAAAGGGAAAGGGAGGAACGGGAGAAGTGAAAGACAGAGAGTAGAAGGGAAGAGAAAAAAAAAGAAAAAAAAAGTGGTGGCGAGGGAAAGAGGAGAGAGAGAAAAAAAAACAAGAAAGAAAGGAGAAGAGAAGAGGGACGTCGAGAGAGAGAGAGAGAAGGAATGTCTGCGTCTCGAGGTCTAAGGATTGCAGGCAGGATGGAAGAGGCTTGCGGTCTTCGCATATTTCCTCCCGTCTCTCTCTCCGTGATGAGATTTCTCCCGCCGGTACGTCAATTTGCGTCAAGGTGTGCGATGCCTCTCTCTCTCCCCACCCCCCACCCCCACCCCCCATCCCCCTCCCCCAGTCTTCCCGCGATGCCCAATGCGCGATAATTGCGTATGTGTGTTGTGTGGCGGAGGATTGGTGCATGCGTGAGAGAGGGGAAGGGGGGGGGGCGGGAGAGGAGATGAGAGGAGTGGATGCATGAGAGAGGGGGTAAGGGAGGGAGGAGGAGGGTTTGAGGGGAAGAAAGAGAGGGGAGTGGGAAAGAGAGAGGGGATGGAGGGGAGAGAGAGAGGGTGAGAGGAGAGAGGGGGGTGAGGGAGAGAAGAGAGAGGTGGATGAGGGGAGAGAAGAGAGAGGGTAGGGGGAAGGGAGGGAGAGGAGGTGAGGAAGAGAGAGAGGAGAAGGGGGTGAAGAGAGAGAGAGAGAGAGAGAGAGGGGGGGAAGGGGAGAGAGAGGGGGGAGGGGAAGAGAGAAAGAGGGGGGGGGGATCAAAGAGAGAGGGGGTGAGGACGAGAGAGGGGGGGTGAGAGAGAGAGGGGGTGAGGAGAGAGAGAGAGAGAGAGGGGAGGGGGTGATGAGAAGAGAGAGAGAGACGGGGGTGAAGGGAGAAAGAGAGGGTGGTGAGAAGAAAGAGAGAGAGGGGGGGTGAGAGAGAGGGGGGTGAAGGGAGAAAATAGAGAGAGAGGGTGAGGGAGAGGAGGAGAGAGTGAAGGAGAGAGAGAGAGAGAAGGTGAATGGAAAGAGAAAGGGGTGAGAGGAGAGAGAGAGAAGAGATGGAGGTAAAAGTAAAGGGATTGAAAATCAAGAGCATGCTGATTTTCACACATCATATCTCTCCTCTCTTCTCTCTCTCTCTCTCTCTCTCTCTTCTCTCTCTCTCTCTCTCTCTCTCTCTCTCTCTTCTCTCTCTCTTCTCTCTCTCCATCTCCCTTTTCCCCTACTCCATTTCCGTGTAAAATGGCTGTCGGAGTCGATAACATGATTGACACTCCCTCCTCTCAAGATAGTCTCCCTTGGTCTCCGTAAATTTCCTCTTTTCCATTCTCTCTTTTTCTCTTCTTCGTTTCTCTCTTTCTATGCCTAGTCTCCCTTGATTTCCGCTAATTTTCTTTTTTTCATTTTCTCTTTTTCTCTTCTTCGTTTCTCTCTTTCTGTGCCTAGTCTTCCTTCATCTCCTTAAATTTCCTCTTTTTCCATTCTCTCTTTTCTCTTCTTCGTTCTCTCTTTCGTGGCCTAGTTCTCCTTGATTCCGATAATTTTTTTTTTTTCATCTCTTTTCCTCTTCGTTTCTCCTCTTTCTATTGCATACCCTCCCTTGATTTCTGTTAAAAAAAAAAAAAAATATTTTCTCTTTGTCTTTTCGTTTATCTCTTCTATGCATACTCTCCCTTGATTTCTGTAAATTTTATTATTTTCATTTTTCTCTTTTTCCTCTACTTCGTTTCTCTCTTTCTGTGCTACCTTCCCTTGATTTCTGTAATTTTTTTTTTTTTTTCTCTTTTTCTCTTCGTTTTCTCTCTTTCTATGCTATTACCCTCCATTGATTTCTGAAATTTTCTTTTTTTAATTTTCTTTTTCTTCTTCGATTTCTCTCTTTCTGTGCACTAGTCCTCCCTTGATTTCTGTAAATTTTCTTTTTTTCATTTTCTCTTCTTCGTTTCTCTCTTTCTATGCATACTCTCCCTTATTTCTGTAAATTTATTTTTTCCATTTTCTCTTTTTCTCTACTTCGTTTCCTCTCTTTCTTCCTGTCTCCTCCATCTCCCTTTAAATTCTCTCTTTTTCTCTTCTTCTTTTCTCTTTCTATACCTAAGTCTCCCTTGATCTTAAATTTCCTCTTTTCCATTCTTATTTTCTCTTCTTCGTTCTCTTTCTATGCCTATCTACTTGTCTTTTTGTTCATCTATCTTTCTCTTTATCTATACTATCATCTACATATCAGTCATGTCTGTTCTAGATTTATCTGTGTATCCATCTTGGCTATTTTATCTATTCATATATCTATCTCTCATTCTGTTCTTCAATCTGTTATACATCTGTTCCTCCTTCCTGCATTTACATTAATTGATTCCTCAGTAGAACAGCAGTATAGAGAGAGAGAAGAGAGAGAGAGAGAGAGAGAGAGAGAGAGAGCAGATGAGGGAGAGAGGAGAGAGAGAGATGAGAGACGATGCATCGACACACACGACCAGTCGAACAACTAGCGTACCGCAGCTTCAGAGAGAGAGAATTGTAGGCGAGGAGAAGAAGAGAAAAAGAGCGAGAGAAAGAGACAGAACAGACCCAGACACGACCAGACAGACAGGATAGATAGATAGGTGAGGGACGTTGGCGAGAGAAAGGAGGAGAAAGAAGAAAGAGAGAGAACAGACAGGCAGACAGATAGAGAGCGGCTAAGTTAAGCCCAAGTAAGCGAGTGACGAACGGAGGCACACGAAGAAGACGATTCGAGACTCACCGTAGCGCAGAGAAAGAGGAAGGAGAGAGAGAGCAGGGGAGAGAAACTGAGACAAAAATAGAAAAAAACTAGCTGTGCTGGATTTTCTAGCTTGCTGAACATCTCGCGACAGGTTGAAGCAATAGGTTCCGACTCAGTGGAAGTGTCAAGCCGCAGATTTGTGTGTCCAGCTGATGTCAGCACCAAGTGTCTGCTTATCTTCAAGCTGAGCTGCCGAGTGGCATGCGCATTCATAGATAATTGACACTTTCGCCCTATGCATATTGTGATATCCTATTAGCTGCGTTGTTGTAATTGTAATGTTTTCAGACCTGATAACTCTTGAATTTCAT